TACTATATTATTAAGGTTACATACAGTACATGCATTGAAAAGACCCACTACATGGATAAATCCTCTTTTCAACTGTTGTTTTGGCCTTTTTGGAACAGAACCAACAAGTATGTCATCCCCAACGCCAGTTGAAAATGAGGGAACATAGCATGTTTCCATGTTGTCTGGGGATGTCGTTCGGGGGGATGTCGTCCGGGAATGTCATCTGGGGACATCATCTGCAGTTCATCTGGTGTGGACATCATCTGCGGACGTCGACCGGGGACGTCATCTGAGGATGTCGTATGGGGTGGGGACATCATCTGGGGACGTCGTCCGGGGATGTCATCTGAGGATGTCCCCACGTCGTATGGGGTGGGGAGGACATCGTCTGGGGATGTCGACGGCGGGCGTCTTCTGGGGACGTCGTCTGGGGATGTCGACGGGGGATGTCGACGGGGGACGTCAACTGGGAATGTCACCAGAGGACGTCACCAGAGGACGCATCACATCTTCGTAAAAAAATTTAATATGATGTACTGTACTGGTCCGGTTGTCAGCAAGTGCTGTGTAAATCTGTGCAGTTTGGATGGTGCCGGAGGTCCATCCAACAATTTCTAGTACTGCTGGTAGATCTTGAATTTTGCAAATATTGTCAGGTGCAATTTATACTTAGTCAAACTAGTCAAATTAAGTGAAAAAGGCAGGAGTTTTCTAAAATGGGGAGTACTTCTGTCAAAGAGGGACRATTTGTGAATTTAGAGCTAAAACATTTTATTCCAAACCGGAAAAGGTGGAGACTACCCGTAAAGGGGGTTGGGAATATAAAATTTAGGGTACGGAGGGGTGTATACTGGTACGGAAACAGTTCTTGGACGAGTAGTGATAATACTATAGTAGTAGTAGTAATAATCATACTACTTCAACTAGTACTACTAGTAGTACTAGTACTACATGCAAGAAACAAGAATGAATCATTCAACAAGAACAAGAAAAGAACAAATTGCTGACCAACAAGATGAACCAACAACAATCACTATTACCACCACTGCTGCTAGTAGTACTAATAGTAGCTAGTACTATTCTTGATGAGGAGCTTCTTGTTGCTTCATTTGTAAAAGAAGATCCCTAGTAGAGGTGTCACTGACACACCTTCTCCAACATGAYATGGACAAAGTGTGTAGTTTGAAACTCTTTTTTGTCCAATTTATGGACAGAGGATGATTTTTTTCCTCTGGTCCACATTAAAAAAAATTCTTAATATTATATTTAGCCTCGTGAACTAGAAGAGGCACTATATGGCCAGAACAATTGCTTTTGGTTGAAAGCATGCTTCTAGATGCTCCAAGGGGTGGCACATCCCTCCGAGGAGTTTTGATGGAGGTGCAACCAGGGTTTTGTTTGGGCTGGGGAATTAGTTGAAATATTTGTTCATAGTAGTTTGCATGGTATGTTTGGTAGGGGCAGATACCATTCCTCTGGTTCATATTCGTATGTGTACCTACTATTAGTAGTAGTAATAGTATTGATGACATGACAACAAATAATAAGAACAGCCACAATGGCATAGTGGTATCCCTCTTTTGGACAAGAATGACCAACCCCATCAAACTGTGGAGGATACTGCAAAAAAACTACTATTCTTGCAAACACTCCAGATTTCTTGGTCAACAAACTCCACAAGTATATCTATGAACTATACTAGGCCAAAGGCCCCCTAGACTCAAGGAAGACACTCCTTTGTCCTAGGGGACTATTTGTGTCTACCCACCCAACAAAGTAGCAGGGAAAGATGAACAAGAGGGAGGCAAAAATCAAGAAGGCAAGGCACCAAGCAAGGCTTCTTGTTTACAAAAGTTCCAAGGCCTCTGCCCAAAGCACTGGCTGCCAAAGTGCAAGCTTGCAATCATACAAGCAGGGCAACATGGAAATGAAATGGTATTGAAGCATCCCCCCTACCTCCTGAGATACTCGACGTCCAATTTCTGTTGAGTCAAGACTGGAGGTGGATTGAAGACTGTGAATGGGATATGAAGAAGCCTACTCCTCCATGACAAGAAGTGGGGGAATCCTAGCACTATCATGGATTGGAACTTCTCTTGGGGGGGGTTCAGACAACTATGGCAACAACTATGAGGAGTTCTATGGTTCACCAGACTAGAGCTCAAATGGATGAGAACACCCACCACCTGCCCAGTATGTAATTGCTGAGCATTCCAATATATTGATATTTAAATACATTCTAATTTCTTTCCACCACAGCTTTTATTTTTCTTTCATCCATAGTGCTTGCTTCAGTTCTAGTGCCCAGAGACATCATGTACCAGTACTCAAATTTTTGAATCCCACCAGTTGTGCGACCAAAATAGTTTTGCTAGCACATGCAAAATAGTTTTGCTTGCACATGCATGCTGTAGGCCTAGTACAAGTCAAATTTTAATCCCACCACGAGCCGCTACATGGTAGTTAGATGGCCCAAAATCTATGCACAGTAGAGAAACACATAGAATATTAAGAGAGGTTCAACTTACTCAAACAGCTATAACTTTGTCCTCAATGGACGCTTAACAATGATAAGCTCATGAATCGAATCCCAGTAAAAAGACGGATTCAGTGATTTGGGGGGTTATAGGGGGTTAAAGAGTATTGAAAGGTATACAGCGCTGTATATCTGGTATAAAAAATGTATGATAATTTTGGCCGGAAATGMGTGGCCCATGCTATACAATAACCATATCTTTCCCACTGCCATAGTCCTCAAACAGTGGAAATATCAAATGAAAAACAAATGCTGTCTTTGTTCCCAAGCAGAAGATTCACAGCATCTCATCTGGTGTTCCCATCAAATCAGACTCCAATGACATCAACAGACAATCAAGAACTCTTTGTGACACTGAATGTTAATACTTGGTTTCCAATTGATTGCCATTGATAGTCTTGAAAGTTGCATTACTGAATGCCTGGATGTTGGTACTATTTCACCACAKAAATATCCCAAATCCCTTCACCCTGCTAATATCCATTTCCAGAGCAAGATTTACCAAATGGCTGGATGTTGGCACCACTATTTCACCACAGAAGTTTCTGTTTCTGTTTCTGTTTCTGTTTTGGTTTCAGTTTCAGTTTCAGTTTCAGTTTCAGTTTCAGTTTCAGTTTCAGTTTCAGTTTCAGTTTCAGTTTCAGTTTCAGTTTCAGTTTCAGTTTC